AAAACATTAATCATAGCCCAAGCCCCTGTGTGCCAGGTTTCTGACTGGAACACAATTTAATGGATGACTCACAGTAGATATATTGTATAATGGTATGATGTTCTGATAGCCAGTGATTTACAGCTACAATACTTAGCACTGTCTTGCTTTGGAAAATCCTTTTATTGCTTATTTGTGTAACGTGGATACTTGGAATTTAAGAATATTTTCATAGAATTATGTTCTAATAGCTAGAAAAACAAACAAACAAACGTGCAAAGTAGATCAGGAATCAAACTTTATGCTATTCCTTAAAAATGCTAGGTTAAGAATATCTGAGAACATACTGTATTGCCTTCAAACTGAATTTGAATAAATCTGTGGCAAACAATGCAAACTCTCCTGGAGGAGGGTCCTTCACTGCTGTGCACTGGGGAGGTTCACAAAAGTGAAGAAGAACTAGGCTAATAAGGTCAAATATGTTTATTTCCTTTTAAACAAAGAAGTGAACAACTGTAGTGATGGCCCATATAGCTGGCTTGGTTTAAAATCAGTAACACTGGTTGGCCTACTCTTAACAATTTATTTGAAATGTCAGTCAGGGGTCATTTCAATGGATAGCAAGCATTTGAAAAGAAAGATTGTGTTATGCACACCAAGAGGCTAACCCGCCCTTGCTTTCCATAGGGCAGGCTGGTGTAAAGCACAGGCCCCTTAACTTCCCAGCCTGAGTCCCTTCACTCAGGAATGAGGAGACACAGTAATGTGTACAACCTTCCTATGCCAAAACTGAGTCAGTCCTTTTACTCTGACTGAATTACTAGGAAGACCTGCTCAAAAACAAATAGCAGTTTGTTTCACATTACAGTTTGTTATTATTGTTGAAGATTGTATTCTGGGTTTTATGTAGTCAGAATGTTTTGGTTTGATTTGCCCTAAAGGATAGTGATGGTAATTAATGCTGCAGCTTCCTGTCCATAACCTATTAACTCTAACCAAGGAGAGAGTGAACTGACAACTACGTGTGATGAGAGGCTGCTGGGTCAGCCAAGGAGAGTAGCATGCCAATTACATTACTGCACAATTGCAGGGTTCTGCGTAGGCAGATGGACCTTTGGGAGTCCTTTGACAGGACTGCAACATTAACAGTGTTTGTAATATGCCAAAATATCCTGCAAAACATCATAGACTCCTGTTCTAGGTCCTTCTTGTAAAAGGAGAATAAATTTTTTCTTCTCTGTGAAATGGTTCCAGCATCCTTTTGAAGTGCTCTTTTTACATATTGCAGTTGAGGTGTTCAAAAGAGTTACACGACTCTTAACAAGATTTGTGAGAAGAATATGACTGACTGTACTCCTATTGACCCCTTTTGCTCCTGAGCAGTTAGACACAATTTAGGGCCATTGCAGGTTGCTTTCATGAGGAAGGAAAGTTGTCAAAAAGTTATCAATAAAGGAGATTTTTTTCTCTGGTGCTATCCTGCAGATCTGTAAAGAACTTCTCTCAGCTTTTGTGCTGAGTGCAATGAGAACAAGTAGCAGGAGGCAGCCTTTTTGCGCACAAATTGAGGTTTTTGCGAAGCTGCATTCTGCCAAAAAAAGGTTCATTCTTGGCCATCCTCCTGGAGCCACAAAGGACCTTCTTAGGAGGTTATCTAGCTTTGGGGGCTTTCCTGGTAATTGTATCTTTCCTTTGCTGCATAGCCACCAACCTGTGCAGTGAATGCTGTCTGTCTCCAGGCTCTCAAAGAGAAGAGCTTTTGTTTATTCCTATGTTTGGAAGACAGGAGCACACCAGTCTGAGCAACAGTTACTGGGCTAACTGGAAAGGACCAGCTATTTCCTCTCAGTCTGCCCTGCGCTTGAGTGAAAACCCAATATCTTCACTCATCTGCACACCTATAGACTGAGAGCTCTTCACATTTTACTCTCTGTAGTGTGAAGGTGCTGTGATAATCCTTTTGAGTTGAGGATTTGACTGTGCTGCATATCATGCAAAACACAAGGACAGAGCCTCTGACTCAAAGAACTTGCAACAAAATATATTTGACTTCAGCAGAAGACAAAACCTCTGGCCATGATTTTTAGCCTGAAGTCAGTTGTCAAGCGTGGAAGTGGTGGAAGATTTGCTTCTGTATCATTTTGAGTTTTATTTTACTTGTTTCTGTGAGAATAAGCATTTCATAGAACTCACTAGTTCTGCAGTTTTTCCCAGCTAAGACTAATGTACACTGAGATGTTGGTTACATTTGTCATGTTTTATTTATACAATGCATGAATCCAGTTCTCATCAGAAACAGGTTCTTCTCTTTTACCTGCTCTGATCTAAGAAAAACACTCTCTTTTTATTGTAGGAAAATATTTCCACTGCATCAGTTAGCCATGGATGGAATGTGCTCATCAAAAGCAAAGACTTGTTTTTGCTGTAGTTTGATTAATATGAATTTAACATAATCCATCTCAGTGCATCAAAACATCTCAATTGTGCTTAAACTCTTTATGCTAATTTTATCAGATTCATTCTCAAATTAATGTCATTGTGGATCTAAGTACTAATCAATCCCATCTTTCATGCTTTGCCAATGGTATTCTTACTTCTTTAACTTACTGAGTAGGAAGTGATTAAATTTATCAGAAGTGTCATGAGCTGTCTGCATGGCCATTACTCTAAAAGATAGGTATATGATTTAATTTTTAAAGCTACAAGTGATAGTTCACATGGAGGGTACAGGAAAGAAAGAAATGTTGGGAAATAAAGCAAACAAATTTAGGTATGTAGTTCTCAGGCAGTGTGCTTTCTATGTGTGCATTTGTTTGAGCTACAGATAAAAGTTCCAGCAAAGACTGACTTAGTTCAAATGGAAGGTATATTTGGTCAGTGAACAATGTAAACAGCTGGCAGACAAGCAAGGATACTCTGTAGTCATCTTTCTTTCAGTTCAACAATATGAAATGATGAAAGCATTAAGTTAAAATGACAGGTATGACAATGTACCATGGATCGGTGTCCCTATCCACAGCAGGGGGTTGGAACTAGATGATCTTTAAGGTGTCTTCCAACCAAAACCATTCTATGATTCCAGGATTTTGTTGCAGAACTCACTGGCTGTGCTCTGCTCTACTCCAGCAGCTGCCGGGCTGCAGCACAAAAGCATTCCCAGAGCCCCAGTGGCTGAATGGAAAGCTGGGTAACTTTGGCACTGGCGGGAGCAGGACCAGCCTGTGTGCAATGTGCAAGCACCCCACACCACTCCCACTGGAACCCAACCTAAATCAGGGACATGGCGAATTTTATCAAACCTGTCTGGAAAATTGCTGTGATGTCTCAGAAAGTTTGCTGACACTTGAATGTGTGTGCAGCCCTTTGGAAGTGCCTTTTGGTCAAAGCAGCCCTTGCAGGGATGGGTGGAAGAGAGGAAGGCAAGCCACCAGCTGGGAAGCTGCACTGAGTATGGGCGAGGGAACAAGGCAAGAAACATGTTGACCCAGACCTGTGAAAACCAGTCCAAGGATGATTTAAGCACCTTAATGAACACATTTGCTGACTGAAGAAGGAGCAAATACTTCTTTTTCTTTTTTTTTCTTAACCTTTTCCAACCACTCTATAACCCTTTTTGGGGATACTTTGTAAGAACTGTTCACACACCGTGTGGAAAAAGGATGTGACTGTCTGCTCTACCATGTGTGATGAGGAGAAAAAATGAATCGCCAAAAACAAGAATCAGTCCTTCAAGTTAATCCTGTCAGAATCCAATATCCTAACCTATCAATAATCCTGTATTTTCATGAGCACCAAGCTGCACCGCAAATATTGAAACAGAATAAATGCACATGTTTGGGCACTTGCTATGTGAATGTTTTTCAGCAGCAGAAGGCAGTACACTGGATGTCTAACAAGCTTTTCTGGTCCAGAGGACAGTCCAGACAGATGCAGAACAACCAGTCGTCTACCTGCTGGCCTGCCAAAATGTCATTGTAAAGAGACAAGTAAACCCTAAAGCGATCTCATACAGCCCAGGTGGTAATCTGGAAAACATCGGCAGAAGTTCAGGTGAAAGAGTATTTTCCTGTGGCCACAAATGATGACTGTCACTTTGCCATGACTTCTGTGACTTCAGATTTCCATGTAGCATATGGTGCTCCACCAGGAGCAGCAGGTCACTGTTGGCACAGCAAAGTCCTCCAACTCCTCCTGGTCCTACCAGGTGCTGGTGGCATGGAATACTATGTGGAGGACCTCATTGCCCTCTCTGAGGAGGCAGATGGACATGAGATCCTCTCAGAAGCATTGTCCCCCACCTACTCTCTAGTAGTGGACATGACACACTTCCCTCCACCATCTGCCCACCGCTTCTCAGCATTTTGAAGCCACAGTCTCCTGTCAAGGTCTATGTTTGCAACTTCATCTGAACTTCAGGTGGGAGCCACTTCCTGACTTCACCAGCTCCGTTTAGCTGTATTGCTTTGCTATTTGGATAAAATAAAGTAAAGCTATCTTCTCACGAAAAGGCAAAGGCAGTATCCCTGGTAACCTACCAAAAACATCTCCACTGCCAACAGCACTTACCTTTCATGAAGAAGTGAGTTCAGAGCTGGGTGCAATTTAGAGACTAAGTAACTCTGGCTCAGATGGGAGAGCTGAACAAACCTTAAAAAGTTTGATCAAAAATAAAAGAAATCACCCAAACTGGAACTCTAAGTTACTATCCTCTTCACAGCTTTTTTTGTACAGCTAGAACAAGTTGCTTGTTTCGGTTTCTGAACATCTGAAGGGGATTTTTTTGTTATGTGATAATTTTTGGAGTGCTGTTAGCATAATTTTTTTTCTATCTTGTGAGAGCTGTTTGTTCCATCTACCTCATTTATAAAACTTTAAAGTCCCTGTCACTGATAGCTGCTGGACAAACCCAGCAAGAGCTGGAGATTTTTGTTCCACTTAACTTCCTAGCAGTAACATTTGTCATTGCCTGCTTAAATGCAAAATTCTGGCAGGTGTGTGACATTATCTCATTCGTCTAACAGGTAAGCTGCAAAGTCCTGCAATTCTTTCATCAGTACATGTTGGGCTGCAACTACTTCTGGATGCTCTGCGAAGGCATTTATCTTCACACGCTGATTGTGGTTGCAGTGTTTGCTGAGGAGCAGCGTTTGCACTGGTATTACCTCCTGGGCTGGGGTATGTATGATATAATTTGTAGCAAGATGGTTAATTCTTTCATATGTTTGAATTCTTCTAGCACTTATACATCTGAATTGTTTTATGTATACCACTAGATCATATCTTAAGATTGAGTTCTTGGTTCCTAAATTTGAGTTCATCTATTTCAATGGGCCTAGAGACTTACAAAAATCAGCAGGAGCTGGTATTTAATATTTGCTCCATCTTGAGATTGGCTGAAAGAAATGTGTAAGTTTTGTTAAACAAAGCTTTGGGAGAAAAATAGGTTTCTATCCAAATGTATCTCTTTTCTGAACAGAAGTTGTCTATTTTTGTCACTTTACATGGAGAAATATTAATCTGGTACCAATGAACCTGCATTTCTTTCTGGAATGAAGAAGAGGAAATATCACTATTTATGTATTCCAAAGTGAAAAAACATGGTATGGAGAAAGCAGAACCAGAATTTCTCTGGAAGTGAATCCAGTATCAGATATATTTGGGCCAATGTTGTTTTAAAGGAGAAGATCCAATTTTACCTATACAGGAGGGGATAATGGCTCTGCTGTCAGGGCTGATTTTGTCCAACAGCAGTGATCTCTAAAGCATTTCAGAGAAACATACAGTTGTCAATAAGCAAAAGTCAATGATGTTCTATGAGAGCAGTTACAAACCCATGCACTATGGATGCAAAGTGTATATAGCTGCGTGCATATTGCCCAAGGAAAGATGACTAGGTCTGGTCCTTCATCTCCAAATATATATATATATCTTACATTTTCACTAAGGGATCCTTTGCCTTTTAATTAGCAGCCACAGCAGATATTTATCCTTTGGATTGTCTGGTCCAATAAAAAGCCATATAAATACAACAAATATGTTTCAGTAGAGTGTAGTCTATTTCACATTTAAATCACTATTGTAAATTCAGTCCACATCAGTGTTGACAGAAAATCATTATCAAGAGCTCTTTCCCAGTTTGGGAACCATGAATCTCTGGCCTCAATAGTTTCTGGTAAGCCAGGGCCTGTATCTTGGAACCACTGGTGCAGCTAAGCAGCAAATAACAGACCTTTGTCCATCATTCCACAGCACTTAGGGTTGTTCACTTATATTCATTTCTTGCAATCCCAGTCTGAAGCAGATAGAATTTACTCTTTATTTTCCATCCCCTTTGGAGGAGTTACACTTGTTCAACATTATTTCATTTACACGAGGAAAATAAAAAGTAGCCCTACTGCTTAAACAGAGAAAAATTAGGAATTAATACAATCAGAGAAAAAAGACCCAGTTTTGAATGTTCTGAAGAACTTCAAAACTCTGACTTCAACCATTAATTAGGTATCTGATATCAGGTCCTAAGTAGGAGATTGTTCTTCCCCTATTTGGATTTTCATTTAAGAGCCTGGTGACTTACTTGCCGTTTACAGTACAAGACTTCGTGCTTTCTGGACAGCTATATTAGATACCTAGAAAATTGGCATGATTTTCTAGTTTATATGGATTGTAGTGCCAGATAACTGTTTAAAGACATGTAAGAACTTTTTCTTTTTTTTTAAATCAGAATGCCATGATGCACTCTTTTTTCTTATAATAATGGCATCTTTTCTGAGAAGAACCTGTTGTGCTCTTGAAATTAAAAGTACATGGAACATCATCAGCTCTTAAATGAAGATAACATTCCTGAAGAACCCTAAATTGAGTCAAGGTTTTTGGGCTTTGTCAATCTAAATAGCTGAGCCCTCTTGGAGCAAGCAACTGTGCTATCATAAGGTTTTCATAGTTCAGAATATTTGGATATATAAAGTCTGATAGGGCTCTGCTTTTGAAATGGCGGGCCTGTGCCAGGAGTAATTTTAAATGTTTCCTTCCAAATAAAGCTTTTTCCATTTTTATGTCTTGCAGCATAAGCCTTCCCAAAATCGTGTCATTCTATATCCAATTATGCAAGAGGAAAATGGTCGTAAACATATTTTTCTCAGGTGATATTCAATTTAGGCAGTGCAATTTAATGCAACTGGGACAGTTAGCCTGCAGTGAAAGCTCATGAGCTAGCTATAATGTTGCTGAGGATGGCACTAGCATCATGGTGGGTAATTCAGTGAAGTTAGCTGCTAAGATACTCATCAGTATCTGCAGCACTACCCAAAAAATAAATAGGATGGTGGCTGTGGTAATAGGATAATGATATCTTGAGAAGGAAAAGGTTAATAAATGGACACAACTCTTAGCTATGAAGGCAGCAGCCTTTTTAGTTAAACTAGATGAGTACTACCCAAAAAAGAATAATCATTAGCATGTCCTAACTAAAGTAGGAATCATTAATAGTAAAATGATCTAGCCAAGGCTATCTGGCCACCCCTTAAGCTTGCATAAATCGCTGTAATTCCACTGATTGCAGAAGCAGGCATCACACAGTATGATTTTAAACATCCAGCTATGTTAATCAATGGAGAGAGATACATTACTCCAAAGAGCAGTGCAGAGCAATGAGAGCAGGTTGTGCTCTGAATTACAATTCAAAAGATCAAGGTAAATGTACAACACAAGATGAATTTACTTATTATTCATTGTTATAACTAATCCCTATGCAAGAAGATCTAGATTATTTTATTTGGAAAAATAACTAATGAAATTTGTAAAATAGCTTTATAAGAAAAATAAAAGTCTGAACAAGTGTAAAAGATTTCTACAAAAAGTTTGAGATGATTGAATGGAATCTGACATGTGCAGATATATTTCAGGCTGATGCCTTCAGGTGACCCCTTTGCTGGGAACTGCTGCTGAGGATGTCATTTCTCATTTGCTATTGTTTCACTGAGTCAGGAAATCGCACTTTTGCAAAGCAAGAAAGCAGTATCAAATGTGTGCATTTAGCTACAGTCCACTCTTGCTGCTCCAGGCAGCTTCATCCACACAAAAGTGAAAAAGGAATCATTTACTTGGACCGTGCTGAAACAGAATGCCTTCCAAATTCAACTGGAAATGCAAGTAAGCATAATTGCCAGTTTGTGTCATAAAGGACCTGACTTTGACCTAAAGGGATAGGTATGTCCTACCTTTCCTGGGATGACTGGGGTAAGACCTTTTCTACGTTACTCTCTGCTCGCCATGTGTTGGTGGGACCCCTGGAGCAGTACACGTTGTGCCACCAAGACCCAACAGACCTTGGTGTTCCACTTCTCATTAACCTCTGCCTTATGGCCCTTTACAAAAGCAGAGCACATTTAGCCCTACAAGAGCGCATCCATCCTGCAGCTGGAAATATCAGCTGTAGACAGTCATGAGCTTCTTACCCCACAACTCACTAATGAAAACTTTCCGTTGCATCTTAAGATTTGCTTGTGAGCTTGTTGAGCCAAATATTCCAGGCTAATGCATTTAGCAGAAGAGAAAATGTCCCTTGGCATCATGTGGAGCATACTACTCGCGATACTCCAGGCCAGACCTTTCAGATGAAGAATTTTTGCTATTACAGAAAGGCCCCTTAAAAATTGCATTTCAATCTGTCTGTCAACAAAACTGGCCCAGACTTGCTCCATTTCCAAATCAAAAGGATTTTCTCAAGCTGTCAATCCCATAGGCTCACCCTGAGGCTGGAAGCTCCTTTCTTTCTGTTCTGAGCTTTTTGTTCTGCTGTGCATCATCACCCCCAAAAAAGGCATTCTGCAGCCAGAGGCCAAGCAATCATTTTCTAACAATATATAAAGGAGAAGGCAATCCAGTTTGTTCTCCCACAGCTGCATTGTCCTCACAAGGTACACTGCAATAAGAACCTTTTTTGGCAGTAAAGTAGCTGCTGCTTAAAGATGCCTGGAGACATCACAGTGTCCTATTTACATACTTTTTTGACTGTATTCTCACTCCTGCATTAGCTGGCCTGTGCTCTGATATGAGACTTCCCTAGATTTTGGCTAAGGGTTCTCTGTCTCTTCTAAAAGTGTTTATGAAATCACTTAACACCTGAAGAAACAAGGAGCCACATTCTTCACTCTGTGACTAATAAAGACATCAGCAGGACTTTTTCACACATTTATGTTTATAATTACAGAATGCCCAAAGCTCAGAAAAAATGTTCATGGTTCATAGGGAACAGGCAGCAGTATCACCGAAGATGTCCACAAAGCTGCCTTCCAGGACAGACAAGGCAGATTATCTCCCCCCTTGCTCCCCCCTGGTCAGCTGTCTGTATGTGCAAGGTTGCACAAGCTTCATGCAGAATCATGCAGACTCCCCAGTTCCAGGTTTCCACCCTGTTGGAGAGGGTGGAACACACCATACAAGCACGCTGAAGGAAGATGGATGGCAGTGGACCAGATTGTCACTATTAATGTCAGGCTGGAAATAAGAATTTGAGGCTTTCAGTTCATCAAGCATAGCACATTCCCAAGCCTCTGGCCCAGTGCAAATTTGCTCCCATCAGCTCGCTGTCGAGCAGTGGCCTTCCATGAGGTTTTCACAAATAATTCAGGGGATCTGGATTTATGGCATCCACACCTCTTCTCCCTGCTGAGATAAAGCTGCATGGGGTGGGCTTGGCTGCACAGAGGTTAAGAAGCTGCAGAAGATATCACAAATCCCCATCCCCAGAAAACGTCCTGGCTCCAAACATTTTGTCTTGCCTTAGGCTCCAAAAGAGCAGCTCCTCACTCTGTTGTTTATTGCTCCATAATCTGGCATGTGAGATAATGTGCCTCTCTCTTGCTCAATAGTAATTTACATGCTCCTAACAAGTGTCCCTGGTTTCCCAAGGGAATACTCTGCTGAGAACTGAATGATCTCTGCATCCTTCCCACACTGGCTGCTCACACCCCTCTCTGCACTAGATGCAACAGTGCAGGAGAGCCTGGCAGCAGCCTTGTGACACCCCAGGAGAGCACAGCCTGTGGGCTTTGCTTCTCCTTTTGGCCTGCCTTGAACTTCATTCCCTTTTGCATCCTACTGCTGAAGTAATACTAGGGCACGACAGAACTGCAGTTCTTCCCTGAAAGCTGTGATTTCACATGCATGTGTTCTGTGGCCAAGAGCCTCATTAGTGTGTGTGGCATATGAAATTCACACTAAAAACATACCAAGACTGATCTTAAACTTTAATCATTTCAGGGTTCCCTTTATTGCCAGCATCTATTCATGCTGTTGCAAGAGCCAGATACTTCAATGACAAGTGAGTAGTATGTCTGGGTTTGAAGGAACTTAGCATTATTTGTGTAATGCATTTTATGGGAGTTAAAAGTAAATTTTAATGGTGTATTTCCCCTCCAGCTGCTGGATGAGTGTTGACACGCACTTACTCTATATTGTTCATGGACCTGTAATGGCAGCTTTATTGGTAAGAATATTATTTTCTATCAACAGTTTAATAATTATTTTAGAAATGCTGGTAGCCTGTACAGAAGATAAGATCCTGCACTTCACGTATTTTGGTCCAAACTTGAAAGTAGCTAAAGTTTTCTTTACTCAGTGTTACAAAGGCACAGTACCTTTCAAAAACAAGTCCTGTAAAGAGACCTTCCAGTAAAGAATCAGATTTTGATGCAAACAGAATCACTAACTGCTTTTGAAAATCAGGGAGGTCACTTAAGCGTAACTTGCTTGTGACAAATGTACTGCATCTGTATGACATCAGTGAGACATTTAGCTATGCATTAGCTGGGGTGAGCTGAGTGCAGGGTGGTAGCTCAGCACAAGTTTTACTGGTCACTGAACTGGTATGGCCCAAAGGTAGGGAGATAAACTAGTCCAGGGAAGGGACTGGACTGAGCTGTCTGAGTAGGAGGACAAGATGCAAAGTGCAGCTCAGCAATGTGTATGCATATAACATCTTGTGCCAGTGGTGCTCCTTTACACGGTAACCTGGACCTTCCTGAAAGGTGCGGAAATGGTTTTATTTGACCAAAGCCCCAAGCCATCCTCAGTGTGTCACACAAGATGTGCTTTCAGCTTTTGAGCTATCTCTTGCTTGCAAACATCTGCATAGACATACCTACAGTAATTAACTTGGAAATCGAACAGTAGAGTGGTGGATACTGAGAATACCATGTAACAGCTGAAAAAACTGAAATCTTTCTACCCTTTCTTGAGAAGCAGTCTTGCACATCAGCAGTGTGAAGAAGCCCATTCCTCCCTGCCACATAGATAGCCTGCTGTTCTCATCTAATTATATCTACTGTGAGTCTACTGGTTCAATCTTGATTGCTTTTGCTGTTATAATGCCTACTAACTTCTAGGAGAGGCCATTCAACCTTTATTTTTATCACCATTCTCCAAGTCTGTAAAACTTAGCCACAAAATAAAAAGAAGGGGCTGATTTTATGGAAGAAGAGCCCTCTTTAACTGTTCTGAAAATAAGCCATTATAATTTATGGCCTGTGCTTATGCCATTTCCAGTATTATTTTTCTTGTGAAGATGTCAGTGTCTACAGAATGTTGTCAATGATTTGCTACAAAAAACCCCATAGTGACAGACTGACACAGAAGACCTGAGGATTTTTACCTTTGTAAAGTCTCTTCTCTACTTTTCACAGTTACCTCCATAAATTCTAAAAGTGAAGGTTAAGCAGAGTTAGTGAAGTCAAAGTAGGATAGAGAATAAGGTTTAGATTTAATGCTGAATGGGACCCCAGAAGTCACTTATTATTCCTTTTTTTCCAGTACAGCATTAATGTAAAACAGTTGGAAGGTCTCTCAGTAGTTAAGAAGTGATGAAATGCTTTACCAAAGCTTGATGATTTATGTTTTATTATTCTGAAATATTAAACTGAAATTTCTCATATATCTATGAAATTTAGGCATTGACATTCCCCAGAGAAACTGTCCCCCCCATAGGTCCCATACTCCCAGGGATATGCTGGGGTTTGTCTCACCTGGCTGCAGACATCTTCAGTGTGGACTGAAGCAAGATACCTGAGTGACTTTCAGACTCAGAAGAGAGACATGGTTACTCCTAGGAGACAATTCATCCATCCATTTAAACTTTAGACATAAAAATGAGATTGTCACGGTTTAAGCCCAGCTGGTAACTCGGAACCACGCAGCCGCTCACTCACTCCCCATTTTCTCCCTCCACTCCCGGAGAGATGGGAAGGAGAATCGGAGGAATGTAACTCCCACGGGTTGAGATAAGAGCAGTCCATTAACTAAGATATAGTACAAACCACTACTGCTACCAATAATGGTAAGGGAAATAACAAGGGGAGAGGATACAATTGCTCACCAGCCGCCGACCGATACCCAGCCTGACCCAAGCAGCGATCTGGGCCTTCCGTGTGACTCCCCCCAGTTTCTATACTGGGCATGACGTGCTGTGGTGTGGAATACTCCTTTGGCCAGTTTGGGTCAGGTATCCTGTCTCTGCTTCCTTCCGGCTTCCCCTCCTCCCTGGCAGAACATAAGACTGAGAAAGTCCTTGGTCAGAGTAAACATTACTGAGCAACAACTAAAAACATCAGTGTTATCAGCGTTGTTCCCAGACTGAAAGCCAAAAACACAGCACTGCACCAGCTACTAAGAAGGAGAAAAAATGACTGCTGTAGCTGAACCCAGGACAGAGATTAACTGTTTGCTAGAAATCCTAAATTTGCCCACATCAGTGTGAAAACAGCCAGTGCTTCCTAGAACTGATCATTGCCTGCCTGAAACATCGCTTTAGGCTTCCTAAGAGAAGCAATACAGAGCAGCTTAACATCTCCTTTCTGAAGACATTCAAGGTATTTCCCAAGCCGTGACCAAGAAGCTGCCCATTATGAGCTTCAATAAAGCTAGAAAGTTACATTTTACTGCCTTTTATGTGCTCTGTATTTTTATTTTGAATGTCTGATTGATTTGAATGCTTTCACCTATAATGGCTTTGCTTTTGCAGGTCAATTTTTTCTTTTTGCTTAACATTGTCCGAGTTTTGGTGACAAAGCTGAGAGATACCCACCGTGCTGAGTCTAACATGTATATGAAAGCTGTCAGAGCTACTTTAATCCTGGTGCCCTTGCTAGGAATTCAGTTTGTTATTATTCCCTGGAGACCAGAAAACCGGCTCGCTGGAGAAATATATGATTACATCATGCATATATTAATGCATTACCAGGTATGTTATACAGTAGCAACTTCAGCTTAGGTGAAGTGTTTACTTTAGCCAAAAATGTTGTTAGTTGTTTTGCCCTGAAACTGAGCATGACTGTGGTTTTAATGTTCTTTTCCAAACCACTTTCACATTATTGCATTATCTGCCTTTGCAGGACTAGCACCACTGCATAAAGAACAACCACAAGATAGGGGAAACAATGAAAAAAGTAGCAAAATTATCAGATGACACTACCTGTAAAATAAGAAGAGAAAACTGAGATCAGAGGGCTTTTATGTTCCAATATGATTTCTGTTCAAGTGCTCAAAGTGACTGAAACCGGTGCTGTGAGGTTAATACTAAAATTAGCTGTGTATACAAACTGTTGTACAGAGGGAAAGCCAATGCACAGAAGAAAAACTGAGACAATGAAGCTTCATTTAGGAGTTAAAATTACGTTATTAGGTAGTTTAAATTAAAAGCATTTTGATTTCATAAGTCTTTTGAAAATATAGCATCATTCATTAAGTATGGTTTGTTTTTCAAAGAAAACAAACCAAAACAAACCTAAATAAATACTTGGTTGTCTGGTTTCCTGACTGTAATAGATCCAGTCCTATACTGACTAGGAAGAGCAGGTTTCTAATGCATTTGTGAATAGTGGTCAACATGGATGAGTACAGTGACCCATTTCTTGTTTCTTTTCATACTGAAGCTAAATTCAGAAATTATTTTAACGTAGTAAGAAAACAGCTTAAAAAAATCAGTGCTGCTTTTTCCTTAAGCAAAGTGATAAATAATCCTGCCAAAATCTATCCATCCTGTCATCTTAGATGAGCCTATCAGCCTTATCTGTTCAAAACTGTGCGTGCATAGAATAACTGAAGTTATAGGTCTATTTTTACAGTGCATGCCATCTTGTATTTCAGTTCTGCTTGAAAGGAATGAGAGTCTGTTTCTTCTGTTGTTATCTGCATCATCACTTCCTTGGTCTCAAGAGCTATAAAGGAGTATTTCCAAACAACTTTTCTGTTGACAACTTGCTTAGAGTTTTAGCGAGTTAGGATAAGATCAAGTGTTACAATAATCATTTTACTCTTAAAACATCTTTCAAATCATGTGAGGTTGTCACAGAATTACAGAGACAATGTTAATTATCTTAATTAACAATCCTAATTATAATCATTATGCAGTAGAAAGTCACCAACCAAGGTTAAAATGGAACCATTAAACAAAGCCAAAGTATTGTGTAACTGTTGTACTGATGGATGGGATCAGGTGAGGGATCAAAGGAGGCAGTTTCATCTCCAACTGGTTCCTTCAGCCCTTGTCTCAGTCATCAGAAATGGTTGTCTTTCCATGCCTTGTTGACCTCAGTTGCCCCTTGCTAATACGTTTTGCCCATTTCAGCATAGGGGATGGTGCTGGGGGCACCGTCATGGGTGCGTGGTGGGGGCTGGCCATGTCCCACTGCCACTGTGCCCAAGAGGCCACTAGGCATGCCGAGGGAGACAGCCCACCCAGGTCTGTCCGCAGACCAGGGCAGCAATGCAGACCTCATAGAAGAGCTTGTGACACTTCTGCAGTATAACCTTGGTGTGCTTCCCCCCAGCATGTAAAATTTGGCCATTCAGGAGGGCTATTGAGTTGTCCTGCTAACTGCAGCCAACTGCGACTCTCCCTTTTCTGCTTAAAGCGGATTTTAAATTGTATTCTAAAATAGACTTCCTTAATCCTTTCCCAAACATTTCTTGTATGCATATTTAAGATAGCCAGCTACATAATAACTCCTCTGGTGCCCATTTTCTTCTAAGACTGATTATGTAATTAGCAAATATTGTATTAGCTTGTGTAACAGCTGTATTTCCCCACTAGCTATTGCTCTCATAAACCACAGCGCAGCCTGCCTCTCCATCAGCTAGCAGCAGTCTGTCGGTTTTTGCATCCCGTGACATGTCAATCATATACAAGCAGGTATCATGGGTGCAATTGTTATGTCTTTTGGTGGAAAATATAATACATTCTCTGTTTTTGTCCTGGTTAAACAATTAATATTTTATGACTTTTCTAAAACAGAGAGACAGTTTTTCAACAGCACATCACTGCTTTAAGTGAACACGATGGTTTGATATGTCAGTTACATTGTCCATGTACACAGAAATGGTGCAAACAAGCACTGCAGTGTATTGTAAAAATCACAGCATAGAAAATGGTGACTAAGAAAGAATTTGTTCCGACAAGAAACTGTGTAATGATACAGTTTTCCCAGTGAAAAACAACACTTTGAGATGTTATGTGCTAGGTTTCCTCTGCTAAAGTCACTTTCAAATAGCAGAAACCAGTCTGTGTTGGAATTGTCCTGCTCTTTTTGTAGAATCATAGAATCGTTAGGGTTGGAAAGGACCTTAAGATCATCTAGTTCCAACCTCCCTGCCATGAACAAGGGCACCACACACTAAACCATGTCACCCAAGGCTCTGTCCAATCTGGCCTTGAACTTTTTTTTACTTCCTGTTCTTTTTTCTTTGTGTTATTACTAATTTCAGAACTTTCTAGTATTTTGAGCCAATAAAAACTGGGGAAAATGTTTTTTTGAAAAATTGATATTATGAAGTGTCATGAACAATTCATGTACAAAATTACAGTAATGAAACCTCCAGCAGAGAGTAGGAGAAGCAGCAAAGTGTGAGCTCTGGCTGATGGGATGTCTCCATCATTTTGCAGCAAGTGGGCTGCCATCTTCAGCCCTCTCGTGACAAGCTTCCCACCTGAGTAGCAGCAGAAGCTGCAGACATGTTCTTTGCTTTGCTTATTTTTTTTAAACTAACATAAATGAACACTTTATAACACAGTCATTTGCCTCAAAGACAATGTATGAATGTGCTGTGAATTAAGAGGGTGAGGAACACAGTACTGTTTTTCTCAAAGCTCTTTATCTTTGCTGAAATGAGAGAGATGGGAATGGGAAGCATTTCTGTGAAGAACCTTGGCGACACTTTTCTTTTGCCTTTTTTTTTTTTTTTTTTGCTGTCCATTCAGATCCAGGAGTGAGAAAAGAATGGACATGGACCAAAGCCCACATGGTGAATCACGAACTGATTTTTTTTATAGCATAGCCACCTGTATAATTACATGTATCATCATCTTCTACCATTAATAATGGATATATCATCCCACTAAAGTCTAAACAGCAACACAGTGTGTCATTAAGACAGAAACTAATGCCACGGACATACTCAGGAATAACAGGAATAAGCATGTCTACATATAACTTCTTGTTTTATGGAGACATAAGCTAGAAGAAAAACAAATGAGATATCAAAAACCTATGTAATTTTACAGTGTCTGCATATGTATTTGGTTGGTTGGTTGGTTGTTTTTTTTTCCTTTTAACCTGAGTAAACTACTGGAACTTCTCATCAAGATACATGTCTTCTAGGAAAGTGAGATAGAAATGAAATACCTGTTAAGCAAAGAATATCCTTGGGTCCGTATAGGCACTTCAACACAGGGAAAAACTCACTATGGTGCTAGTAAGGTACATGAAGGTCTGAGAGACACTGACTGGACAATCCTTAATGCATGATTCGTATGAAAGCCACATTCATCTGATCTTCACACAGTTCCAGAAATAAAGATTTTCAGAAGAAGTCATTGAAGGCCTTAATATCACAATAAATGTGTTCTTCATTTCTTCCTTCAGTACCACAGCCAAAGTTATCCTGCTGGCAGCAGACAATGTGTCACAGGTCAGTTTAACAACTCCACACAGTGGCAGAAAGGTATAATTGACCTAGAGATCTCATCCTCCATAGGAACTGCACCCTGAGCAAAAAACAACAGCAGTTAGAGATAATATGGAAGATGTATGTCAAAGAAGTACGAGAAATAACCTGTGGGCCTTACATGAAGTAACCTACATCCAGTCTTTCACATGTTTTAACAGACCCATTGTAGAATTACCATCATCCTAAGCCTTCCTGGTTCTGAAAAGACAAAACTGGGGTCTGTTACTGGTATGTCTACAGCTTTACAGCTGAAGATACCAGTAGTACTCTGAGCTATGGGCAAAACTTCATGATAAAATGGAAATATAAATAATAGAAATAGAAATAGAGATGGAAGAGCCCAGAGAGCTGTTGCTGATGCAAGAAGAGCAATGAGACATATATGAGGCAAACTACAGAAAATAATTTCTTCAGCCAGGAGGTGTACTGTCTACATGGTCTCAAAGTAACAAGGAGCCAGATGTGCTCTCAACTCACTCCAGACCAGAAGAGCAACTAAAAGGGATATGAGGCATCACCACAGCTTCCTCTTTAGCTTTTCTGTCAGAAGTTGGCTCAAGAAAATGCTAGTTAAGGGAACTACACTCTACAACAGAAGACAGGTAGAGCAATTGCAGGATGTAGAAGAGGAATTCAAATACCATACAGGAACTGAAATGGGAAATGCCTTCACTTCAATAGTTCAGGTTCAATTTCTGCCTCTGGGTGAACTGCAGTTCCCAAATTCCCCCTGAGCACTCTCACTAACTTACTTAGAAAAATTTCTCTGCTACTTTCTCTTCTCCTTCTGTCTTTCGTATCTGCCTCATGTAGACTGTCCACTGAGTGTCCCTACTCCCAGAGGAGATCAAGATTCACTTCATTTGCTAGCTGACTACTGTTAATAAAAACATACGTTGGCAAACTAGCAAGACCCCTGCTGCAGCCATGTACCAGGCAGTTCAACGACAGATGTTTTGCAATACTGTGCAAATTACTGTAGTGTGTGCAGCACAAGAGAAAACCAATATAGGCCACCGGGAAGTGACGCATTTGCTCTCCTTGCATAAATTTTCCATTTAGGAATCTGTGGTCTGACAAAGTCCTGCTTTAGAGGTGTAAGGTTTTGGTTGACTTTGTGGTTCCTCAAATCAGAGCTTATGGACAATCTGTCATGCATTGCATATTGTATACTCGGATTTGAGGGTTTTGAGAATACTCACTGTTCTACCAAAGCATAAAAAGAAACTTTCTTTTTTCTCACTATGGCTACCCTTCCTCCTCCTCACACGTGCTTTTCTGCATTGATATTTGAAGTCATGTTGAATTACAAATTCTGTAGTAGAAAAAAAATTATTGGAGTAAAATAATTGCCAAAATTGCAGTGGTTAGCACCTCTTCAAACCAACCTGTGTATCTCTAATATGTATTTTGTTAAAACAGTTATTTCTTACCCTGTGTTTGTGGTCCAAAATATGCATTTGAGAGTCCAAGACATTTTACAAAGCATTAGCTACAATTTAACTGGTAATGAGTTAAATGAGGGTTTATAAAAAAGATACAGCTGTAAAGCCCTTCAAAGCAGCCCTTGGGAACACAAGCTATTGTACTGCAGTTTTCCCCTCCATTTCACAAACTGCTATACATTTAGTTTATAATAACTGCTTTAAGTAATTTAAAGGCATTTGGCTCCCAGTGGTGCTATGTAACACTATTTTAATAAGAGTGAGTGCCGTTAGGATGTGGACCAGCGAAACTACATGATTCTGAATGGCAGGCTCTGTGTGCAAGAATTTTCTCTTATTAATTACACACTTTCCCACCTTGTGTTCCTGCCTTCACCCTGTTTAATCTTATAGTAGTAGTGAAATATTATCTGAGCAACCATGGCAATAATTAAATTAATTTTAAGCCATTTAGGACTCAGCATGATCTACAATCTCTCTTCTCTATTTTCTGCACCACCCCCAACTATCACCTTCTAACTGAACTGTTGTGTTTTGGGGTTTTTTTTCCTTTTTCTAACCACTTATACCTCTTTTCACATCCTCTCCATCCATTGTGATACCACACATACAAATTCACTTATTCTGACATACAGTTAAATTTAAAACCTTCCTGGTGCAGAAGGATTCCCCCTGCCCAAGAACTTTTAACTGGGTAACTGCACTCTGGGAACGTATAGGACAAAAGTCCTCTAGCATCTCTTCAGCAAAGTCAGTGCAGTGTGGTACTCCACTGTAAGCAAAATATCGACCTACATTACATACCATTTAATTTTCCTTTTCTAGAAAGGAAATTTCCTTTCCTTTCTTCTTGTACAAAAATAACTTCATAGCCAAAATAGATAATCTGTACATGCTAGTGTCATGGTTTAAGCTCAGCTGGTAGCTCAGCACCACGCAGCCACTCACTCCCCCCACTCTGGGTGGGATGGGGAGGAGAATCGAAAGAATGTAAATCCCACAGGTTGAGATAAGAACAGTCCAGTGAGGGGATGAAGGCACGGACCCAGAGCATCTTCATGCAGTGAATCGCTTTATTGCCTACTGCTCTAACTTTTTATACCATTCTAACAACAGTTATTTTTAGCCTATTGCTCTAGCTTTTATACCATTCTATTTGTAGCCTATCATGTTTAGTTCCTGACTTATAGTTTGTTTGTTAACACTGCTTGCTTTCTCACAGCCAGTCCCAGAGTAGCCAGTCTCTTATCTTTATGCTCTCTCCTCCTCAGCCAGATGTCTTGGTATCTTATGCTCTCTCCTCTTCAGCCAGCTGGGTTGCTCTGCTTGGTTGTACTTTGTTTCTTCTTTAACTCTTTCTTCTCCAGCCAAGCAGTTACTTCTCTTTGGCAATAATCAAATAGTTTCCATTGTCTCCCACAGTCCAGTAACTAAAGTATAATATAAAACTACTATTACTACTACTAATAATAATAATAATGATAAGGGAAATAACAAGGGGAGAAAATATAAGACTAAAAGGGAAAAGGGAAAAAAAAATAAACACAAGTGATGTACAATACAGTTGCTCACCACCCGCCAACCGATACCAAGCCTGACCTGAGCAGCGATCGATCCTTTCTGGGTGACTCCCCCAGATTATATACTGGGCATGATGTGCTGTGGTACGGAATACCCCTTTGGCTAGTTCAGGTCAGGTGTCCTGTCTCTGCTTCCTCATGGCTTCTTGTGCCCCTCCTCACTGGCAGAACATGAGACTGAGAAAGTCTCCGATCAGGGTAAGCGCTACTTAGCAACAACTAAAACATCGGTGTGTTATCAGCGTTGTTCTCAGACTAAAGCCAAATGCAGCACGGCACCAGCTACTAGGAAGGAGAAAAAAATAACTGTTACAGCTGAAACCAGGACAGCTAGTAATATAGAAGAAAATGTTAAAATATGTTGAAAGACAAAAATCAATGTAATAAGATAACTGTGAAAAAGGGGGAGGTTAAGTGGAGGGTCTGTGATGCATAGGAAGTGGAGTAATGTTTTTTCTTGTATCCATCAAGTCCAAATTTCCAAACAACACACAAAAAATTTACATATTCTGATCTCTAAACTCTTTTCTTTTACTTTCTCTTAGGGCTTACTTGTGGCAACTATATTCTGCTTCTTCAATGGTGAGGTAAGCATGCAAAATGCAGCAAATGAACGGAACTTGAAAGATAGTCACAATAGCCTTCATTAATCATGCAACACCGCAAACTTCGAAACCACATGTCACTTTTTACTCTCTATAAACAAGCAGCAGCGTGCATTTTTGAAAGATCTCTGCAGAGCGAGATTTGAGTATCTCTGAGCAGATGAATCAGGAGTGCTACCTTTACAAAGCAGATTGCACCAAAAGAGGGACAGGCATGAGATTCTTACCCTACCACCTGCAATTCTGAGACAGACGTCAGAGTAAAGAAGAATTCTCTGCTTCCATTTCTGCCCCAGAATAGTGGGAAGGACGAGGATGCCCCATAAGAAGCAGTGGGGATCTTTGGGGGCCTGTCCTGGGGAGCCCTGTGCTGCATTCAGCCCCAGAGCCATGGCAGATGCTATCCCCTGTAGCACTGTCAGAGTAAAGGAGCCTGAAGGAGTGTGATTACTTTCACTCCTTTGAGGATTAGCCTTTTTAAGGTCAGTGTTTCTCATGTAGTAAGTGAGAAATAAAAACACTTGAGGCAAAGATGTCTCTCATTCTCTTACAGCTGGATCAATATTTTATGTACCTACAGCTGGTTTTAGGTCCACTTCACTATTTCGTTTTAGCAAAAAAAAAAAAAAAGGCAGATTAAAATATGTCAAGAACCATTTAAATTCCTACAGCGAGCCATTTTCCAAAGACAGAAGAAAAATGCTTTTTCAATATATCGGGAGCGTTCAACTGTAGCAAAATAAGACACTGCCTATCTTAGCAAAGCTAGGAAGTCCTTTAAAAAGTTAATTTTGAATCACAGTAGATGAATTAGATATGGAACAAACTTTGTGATATTAACAGTCAGTATATCAACTTAAAGAGGTATTTGTGCTCCTATTTACCCCCAGATTCCAAGTAATGATGTGACCATGCTGATGTTTTGGTAGCGACTTGAAGCAAATTATGCTATTGATAAGGTGCTACTGGCTGCTTTGGTAACTTTCAGTATGGAAGAGAGTATTAAATTCTGCCACCGCTTGTCGACATCACTGTACATTTCCCTCTGGCTGGCTCCCTGCATAAACATACAGAGAAATGCAACAGTAGAAAAGCTTAGAGGCCTCCCACTGTAATTCTGTAGCATGGCTTCTCAGGAGACATAAAGAAGTATGGCAAAGCATAAGCAGCTAATGACACCAGAACCTAACATCAAATGATAGCTGTAAAGATCATGTTACAGAAGTTCATGGTTTCATGGATCCAATTAAACAAAGTTGGAGAGACGTACAACTGTTTTCCTGTAACATTTCTGCCCCCAGGATCTGCAGGCTACTAACACATTTCTCCCTTACTCTCATCCCTTTCTGGCACAGTCCAATCTCCATGCCCTGGAAACACAAAGACTTCTGATTCTACCTGGGGGGACCCTGGCATGGAGAAAGAGACCAGCCAGGTAGTTTCTGAAACACCCTTTCCCTGTAGGAATGACTGCATAAGCTATGTACAGGCAGCGCTCCAGTGTGTCCTCACTTGCCTCCAAACAATGTGTTACCCAAAAATTGTGGTCTTTAACATTGTCTTCTTCTTTCTGAGTTCTCCCCAGCATCACCTTACATTCTTTTCAGATCAGATTTTGAAAACCAAATTTGCTTAATGTTTGGTAGCTATCCTGTAAAAGGTCAATTACTTTGTAATTCTCCAACTCTAATGAGAACATTTGGATTTGTGCCTAGATTAAAGGCTAGATTAAAGCAATGCTAAAAATGAGGGAAGGCTGCAAGAAAATGCACTGCAAGCAAAAAGTATCTTAAAGGCTGTTTGTTTCTTAGCTATGTTTCATCTGATAGCTCTAATTCCAAAGTACTTTCAGCAATTCCAGTGTCAGAAAAGCATATTCATATTTAAAACTCCAGGAATACAATTTTCAAGTTATGCAGTAATGAATATATCTGGAATATCTGTTTGTCAGCATCATGGTAGACCATACATATAATTTAATTCAAAATTAGATTGCAGGGTATGGATGAGTTTACCTGTCATATGAACTAATCTATAGTACGCAAGGCAGAAAATTAAAAGCCACATTCCAGGAATGAAAATTACTCTAAAACAAATACACAGTTCTTTTTTTGTTCATTAAGTATTGTATTACATTTAATTTAGAATTCAGAATATATGTATTTGTATTAAGGAAATGCACCATATTCATATATGATAGTCAGATGTCCAACCTCAGAGACACGCTGCACTTTGTGGACTTCTGCATTGACTGAGCTGCTTTCAGGAAGCAGCAATAGCAGCCAGACATTCCTTACATAGACTGACGATGCATGGTTTAGATCCAAATCCTGAATGACAGCAAGTCATCAAACCCCTAGTTGCCTCTGAAAGCCTTTTTGACACATCTGGCAGCCTACAGTAAAAAGGCCTCTTATGAAGGGCTCTTATCTGGATTATCCACTTTGGATAGATCAATTGTCAGTGAGCCATCACTGAGGGGACACATCTGGAAAGGATGATGCCCAAAATGAGATAAAAATTAATGTTATATTGAAATGTGGCTTCCAGTTTTGTATTCTATTGCTTCCATAAGTAATCACATGAATGGCTTAACTACCTCCAGGTAGCTCCAGGCTGCATCTAGGATTAATGACTCCTCAGTGGAGTGGCTATCAGAAACATTCATCAGTGTTGGGCGGTAAGAACAAACGGCCATGGGGATTCAGCTTTCCCAGGCATGTTGAGAGTGACTTTTGGTGGTGCTTGGGTACTTTTCACCATTACACCCATTTTCAAAATTGTTGTGTCCGCTTCCGACTTGCAGGCTGACTAACATGGTCAATGCCGGAGATGCTAAGAAACCCACTCGTTATTTTCATACAGGTGGGTAGAGAGTCAAAGGTGACACCTCTCTAATACGGACTCAAGACAGTTAGGTGCTACTTGCATCAGCACATTATCAATAAACATCAAGCAAGTTTATGTAACTACACTAGCTGTACTAGAGTAGCATTTGTTCCTGCAATTACACAATGTGTAGATATATAAGGCACAAAACCTATAGAGGAACAGCAACAGACTGATGAATGCTAGGATGGTATTATGTCCTTCCACAATGGGAGTGCTGGTCTGAGTTTGGTTGCCCAAGAAAACTAAGCTGAGATAACTTCCCCCAGTCTTGCTGTGTACAGCAGGACATAGAGCAAAGCCACAGTCTGGTCTTCAGTCATGGCAGGAGATTGTTTCCAAGCTGCTGTGTACATCTGCTGCCATAGAGCTCAAAATTGTTTCTCGTGAGAAAGTTGGATGTGGGGCAAGGAGATTAATTTTAGTACCACAGGAGCCTGGATACTCTGGGATTTACTTTTTCCTACTGGAATATTTAACTTCAAGGCTGGAATACATGAAATTTAGCCAGGACAAACAATGCTAAACTCAGTACCACCTGACAGTGTTTTATGTTGCGTTCATTGCCTATTACCTCACCTACCTCCCTTTAGTGTCATGAGCCCATCTATAGAAAGAAATGTAAAAATAGTAATAAAAAGCTGTAGTGATGCCTGCATTCAAGTGGAAGAACACATAAACAATGGGTTTGCATGTGACTTTTAAAATGACAGATCTTCTTGTGCATTTTCATATAAAATCTAAGTGTCCAGCAACACTGTAAGTTCTGTGTCCAACAACAACAGTGTTGTACAGATGATACAAGGTCTCTGCAATAGTCTGCTCACCAGACTGTATTTCCAGGCCTGAGATTGCTTCTAGACTGCAAGGCTGGCCAGCAAAATGGAAAGTCTGTTTGGAAAAAACCCCAGCCATATATCTTGAGTGCCAAAGAGGCATGAATGGCTAATAGGAAATAGAAAAATCTTCAAACTCCTGAAAGGCAGAGCAAATAAACTCAGGCTTTTCATTTCTTTTGACTTTACTTTCTTTCATCTGCTATCAGAGCAGAAAGCATGGCAGGCATCATCCTGCCCCTCCCGGTCCCCAGGATCCTCCTTGGTTGTTAATATATTATGGCCATGCATGTGATTTTCAGTAATGCTGCTTACACATTTAAAATCTATGCATGACCAGTTTTAGTTGGCACTGAATTATGATCATCTGAGATCCTTGGAATCATTCATGGCAGAAATCTAGATTAGCACGTTGCTTTGCTCAAGTGCAGCAGCTTGTACTATCCATTATCCATTTGTGGCCAGATTCTTGCATGGGCCAGCAGTTCAGCAGAGAATAAAAACACAGCTGCTTTGACCTTGTGCTCTCACTGCTCTGTGGAGCCTTTTAAACCTGTATAATGGCACTTATAATTGTGAGCTGAACAGGAAGGGATGTGCCTGTTCTCTCCTGGACCATACATACAGTTTAAGTGTCACTCCCTTCTGAGAAGAGAACTATAAGCTCCTCATGGCAGGCTTCTTAAGACTCAGTGACTTTGTTCTTCCCTCTTCAGTTAAACATGTTATCTCCAAACATGTGCTTGCCCTGGTGGTCCATCAGACTCCAGTTCAACTGAGCTTGAGAATTCAGAAGGAGCTCATCACCTTCACAGCAGCTTTTCTCCCCATGCAAGAGCAATCAAACCCTTGAGGTCTATGCAAGGGGCAGGGGAAGGGCAATAGGAGAGGAACAGGAAGGCTGTAAAAGCATGTTCTTGCCATCTTCATTCGAGACTCTGAGACTAATCTGAATGGATGAACTGCTGTGAAATGAAAACACATTCAATACTTAGGGGCATAAGAGAAGGCCAGAGGTGCACGGTGGCTAGAGGTGCACGGTGGCTAGAGGTGCTAAAGATCATGATGGTGGTGTTGAAGAGATAGATAGCTGCAGGTTTGCAGAGTGGCTGTGCACACCCAAGATTTCTGCTTTATCTTCACTGTGTCCAGCTTTAGTTACAGTATGAGTGGCAGCATGCCTGAATATGCACTCGGAGCAGGGATTCTTATTCACTGGAAGGACTCAATAGATTAAGTCATCTCCTAGCACCATATATATAACATCACTCTTAATGTAAATGCTGAATAAAAGATTTTATTCCTAGAAGGTTAGTGCCCAAAGTTTGAGATTCTCTGTGATACAGAGGGCTATGACCAATGCTAATTTTTTTTGCCAGCGCGTAACCTGTTCTTAAATTACCTGAACAAAACCTCTGTTTAGCTGTACTAATCCTCTAACTCTTCCTACAAAATTACCTGGAAAGCTCTTGAAGTGTACTTGCCATTCATAGCCAGTTTTGCTCAAGGTTAATTTTCTACAGAGATCACAATGCATTTGCTATTCCAGGGGCAAGGATCCAGCTGAAGCATTAGATAGGTTTTAATCCACATCCCTCCTTTCTTTTCCCTCTTCTACTGTAGCATACTACTGCAGCATACTACTGCGTTCCCCTGTAGCAATCTGTTCCACATTTACCTCTTGTGGGAACAGCTAACCTATACCCTCTCTTCACAAGCAGCAACTGCAGCAACTGTAATTGCTACCATAGGGTAAGCAGCGAGGCTGAGACCTGAGCAACTGCTGCTGCTTCTTCTGGAACAGGGAGCAGGGGAGAGGAGAAAGGTAGACTGAACATGATGGAATTAGACCTCAATCCTTTCCTTTCCTTTCCTTTCCTTTCCTTTCCTTTCCTTTCCTTTCCTTTCCTTTCCTTTCTTTTCCTTTCCTTTCTTTTCCTTCCTTTCCACATCTTTTATAATGTCTTATTATAGGGATTTAGATTATGCCTCATCCTAGCTATGTGTTTCTTTAACAGGTACAAGGAGCTTTGAAGAGGCAGTGGGCACAGTACAAAACCCAGTGGGGCCAAAGGCGCCGAGAACACTGTTCCACGCGATCTACCTCCTACACTGCAACATCAATCACAGAGGTCCCTGTCTACCTGTACCATCATGATTCCAACAATGAACAGTTAAATGGAAGATACATAGAGGACTCTGAACTTGTGGCATTAAAATCTGGGGAGACGTCTGCCTAGCTCAGCACCAGCCACTGCAAATACATCATTTCACATTCTGCTTGTGAACAAAGTGGGGACAAGGGTGGGTCCAAATCCAAGCCACTATGTCAGAAGGCAAGACCAGGTGAAAACACATCGTATTCAAACCACATCAGCCTCTGACAGCAATGGCGTAGAGGGAGTCTGGTGCAGATCTGGGAATAGCATTTATTTCTGCACACTGCAGCAGGGAGTGAACATGGACCTACCCTCCAGGCTATGTAATCTTCACATCTCCTGATACCAGCCATGGGAAGTGACTATCCAACAGTAGTAAGTGCCAGGTAGCCCGTAGCAAATAGGAAAGAAAGAACCAGTACGAGGCAATTGGACCCTTTCAGTACTTTTTGCTTTCAGTACTTTTTGCTTTCAGTACTTTTCTTTAACACTAGATTTTGAACTATCAACTTTCACAAGATGTAACTGAAATGTAGTCCTTTATTTTCCCCCTTCTAATAAGCTCAATGACTGCTTCAAAGATTTTGCACATTGCAAGACAAATCAAACATATGAACAGAAGAAGAGTCACTCCAGAGCATTCAAATCTTCATCTCCAAAGGATGCCTAAAATATTACCATCCCCAAAGGATACCCCAAAATATTATAATCCCATTAGCAGGTGCATAAAGCAAAGGAAGGTGAAATAGTTGTTGCATACCAAGATCTCACACACCCTCAGAGAAACAGATCAGTTCTTTAGGCTGCATCACACAAGTCCTGAAGGCATCTCAAAATAGTTTTTGTTTAACAATACTGGTAGATCAAGAATTTTTATTTACAGGAAAAATTTTCAGCCTATCACTCTTCCCAGGAACTCATCATTAGGGTACAATTCTTTCACTCTGAATAAACTGTGAAATTTGTTTGGAAATCATTATTTTCTTTAATAGCCATTCTGAGATGAGTGCTTGTCTCTGTTATAAAATTATGACTGTGGCAGTAAAGGATCCCAGGTAAGAAATGGGAGACTAATGTCTTAGCACAGGAAGCATCTATTTTTAGAATCTGGTTCAGAGTCCCTCATCTTAAACTAGTCCTGCCATAAACATTGATAATCTATTTTAGATTCTACTGAAATTAGCAAACAAATCCCCATTGACTTAGATGAGCAGTGAACAACTCTCTTCAGTGTTCAGGAATGACTTACACAATACAGCTCAGTGAAGACCTTGAAAACAGAAGACAATTTCATCCTTAGTGATTTTAAACCATTTTTATATATTGTGTTCAGCCAGACTCAGTTTGTCCTTCACTGACACAGCTAGACCCTAAACTTTACACTTCATTTGTAAATTTTAAGTGGAGGGCTTCTGTACATGTCTATCTACAGGAGTCACCATCTCACTGGAGAAGTTCCTTCCCAGAATGAGTTTGTGAGGGACAAGCATACAGCCAGCACTGTGAAAGGGGACTGAATTCTCACTATCTGTGCATGAGGCAATGCCTTGCAAGGAAGGGGTTTGCTCTGCTTGTGCCACCAGCACATGCACACAGCCACCATGCACTACTAAAGCTTCCTCTCAAGTGTGAGGAGTGAGCTGCCAGCACCATGACTGTAGAACAAGAGAGGAGCTGGGGAAGAGGAACTAACTGACCACCACCGTTGCAGACCATCCCATGGTTAATCCAGTGGATCGTTTACAAGAAAATACTATTATGTGCATTTGTTCAAGTCACATACCTATTTTTCAGACTTCAAGGAATATGAAGGTGGTTATTTTTTCAGACAACAGTATTTCACGTATTGCTATTTCTACTTTTACCCATGAACAATGGGAAGTGGAGGATTTAGTCATTAAAGAAAATAAAGTGGCTCTGCCTTGAATGCTGTATTTCTGAATAGCTTTGGGGCACACTGCACTTCCCAGGAGTGCTGCAGAAGGCATTCCTAGTTTCTAAAGACACAAATGAGCTGACGGTAAAAGAAGCGTCCATAATATGGAGTTTAATAATGAACATGTTGATTTTAATATTGTACATGTTTACAACATGTAAGTGCAACTTGTTTCACAGTCTGTTGTGTTCATATGGATGTACAAAATGGAAATGCTTTGCCATTATAGTGGTTTTCTTTCTTCACTGATGATATTGTCTTGTCCTGTTCAGTAGAATGCTTTGAAAAGCAAAATTCAGCATCTGGGGTTTAAGAACACAGTTTGAGCTTCAACTGTGGAAACATGGTGTGGTTACAGCAGTCTTTATGGCAGCTTTGGTTTCAGTGGAGGGGTGATGATTTGCAGCCAGTAAAAATTTGGTCTACCATACATACTGAGTTTAGGGTTGGCATCACCCTTGGACTTTGCAGGAAAGCTCCATTTTAGAGGTACTTACTGAGTAATTTCTAATCAGAATATTTTTGGATGGAAAAATTTTCTTCATTTCAAGATGGTTTGAAATATTGGCATTACACACATAAGGTAAATTTCACTTCTCTGCTTTATAAATAGTACCATACACTAGTGACAGTAATATTAGGAATGCTGATATGACCTCAGTAATTACAATATCTTGACAGTAGGGTGCTTTGTCTTTAATACATTTCACAGGAACAGCAGAAATGCATGATTAAAGTATCAGTGTATCAAAAAGTAGGAAACCATCTGACATTTGAATTGTGGATTCAAGGTGTATTTTAGGAGGAAATTATATGTTTCCTCTCTAACACCACACACAACACATGAAAACTCAGTTTAATGAACGTTTGCTCTGGTAGAAGAGTTTATGTGGTTGCTTTGTTTAAGCAACTAAGTCTATGAGGAAGATGCTGGTTGTTATTCTTTCCTAGGTACAGAAACACAGAACAAATTAAAAAACTTGTTGTGGCATGGGACACTGAAAGTAAGACTTGTTTTTTTTATTTAATTTACTTAATAAATATGTTTAGCTGAAATAAAATAACAACAAAGGTAGAACAGACAGTTTTCTCTGTATTGAAATTCTTAGCACTACCTTAATTAAATATCTACCAGTATTGCCATTACAAAGGGCTTATGTAGCAAAATAATTTTGTTTTGGGATAAAATCAACCATACCTCTTTTCCCAAATCCTCCTCCATACTTTGCCAACCTCAATAAACAAAATCTGAGCCATTTTTCAAAGATGCAAATCCTAAACACTAACAATGTGAAGGTATCTGCTTTCTCAGTGCTTGGATTTTTAAAAGTCAGATGTGTCTGACTTTTTAGCTAAATCTGCACAGTTAATTGATTGCTGCTCAAAAATATGTGCATTTGTAACCTAAATGTCATTTGCATTGAAACAGTAGTTGATCCCAAGCCACTGAGATTCTGCAGGGTGTGAGCATGCCCCCTCTGCCCTCTAGCAGCATTGGAGACCTGAGCCCTACCATGTGCAATCTGGACCCATTGCTAGACACATGGGAGAAAAAAAAAAACAAAACAAAACAAAACCAAAGAAACAAAAAGGAAAAAAGAGTTGGCAGCTAATGGTAGTGGCAAACCAGGAATTTTGAGTTCCTGGGGCGGTTGGGTCATTACAATGTACCATTGTACTTGCTCCAGGACCACTGACTTCAGAGGGACTTGGCAAAATGAAAGCTTGAGTCCTACAGAGCAAATATCATCAGCCAGTAGTAAGGGAAAGTCAGACCTCCATCTTAAATACTACTTTGGGAGGAAGAGCATGATCATCTCCTTAGTCAACTATCTAGTGAAATTTAAGTCCCTGGACGACCCTAAGATTTAGGATAGTGCCAGAGCTATGCTGCTTTGATACCTGTAGTTCTGTGGCAGCTGCTGTAACTAAGGTACGTGTAAGGTTTAAGTTCAAAGTATCCTTTTCATGACCTGCATATGTTTCTGTGCAGCACAGAATTTTGCAGGTACTTCCAGATGAATCACATATCTGTATTTAAGCACCCCTTCATTAAGTACTCAGAGCATCATTGTGAAAACTGAAGTATTTCTCAGCATCTCAAGTATAGATCAGTGTGTTCCTCTCAACCTAGTAAAGGACAAATGTTTTAACCAGAAAAATTAAGGGGTGAGAAGGTTATCATTACTGAGCATGTCATACTGATGCAGGTAAAGGACGCACCGCGGTAAGATGACTAACCAGGGTGTTGTGTGAGAGTCTTCACGAAAAACAAATAGGCACAGGCAGCTTTATGGATGATTTAGGCCTTGCTCATCTGTCTTGACAGAGGGACCATTTAGATGCCTGTCAAACTCCTGTCAAGACTTATTTCTATGACTTTATAGCAGCAAGATGGGCAATGCGTTTTGCTGGGGCAGGAAGGTAATTAACTCTCATTATAGGCCATTAGACATTTTCTTCATAATCTTATTTCGGGATCTCACAAGTTCATTTAAAACAAACAAACAAACAAGCAAAACACAAGCAAAGACAAAACCAAAAACCAACAACTGTCTCCAGTCAGTTTTTAAAGGACATAAGATGTCTGCAATGATTTTAAGAACTGGTTCCTTTTCTCTCAGTGCAAGCAAGTGCAACTTTAAGAAGTGACAACAGCAGGTTACTTCATGTAATGTGTGATGTGCAGTCGTGTGACTAGATGCAACCCCTCCAATCCCACATGCTGGTGATGTTTGCATCATAGTTTGCATAAATACAGTCAAGCAGATGCAACTCCTTCCCTTATCTGCTCTGCGTTTCTCTGCACCTCAATACTGCCTCCACAGCAAATGTAACTCCCCAGTCTGTGCATCCTACATGTTTTCAAGAGGAATTTCTCCTTTACAGTTTGCTCCTTATGTTGACTTCCTGTTGATCCAGGATGTACTCTTGTTGGACTGCAAAGTGAGCATTTTAATCCAAACCAGTTCACAGAATTCACGTGCTTGGCCCACATTATTTGTTTTGGGTTTTCTTAAAAAAACCCCAAACACTGGAATTATGGAAATGGTAGATATATGTTTCAAACTAAATTGGGGGTAGAAGTCTTGAACACAGACAGAGTATCTTTAGAAGAAGAATAACATTACTTTTCTCTTTTTGA